AATAGGAAAAACATGAATATATATTCTACCTACTCCAGGTAGTATAGATGGATTTATTCCATCTCCAAATCTGCTTTTCCCCTGCTTGTCTCTGGAACAGAAGCTGTAAAGCAAAATGTGTACTTTCTCAGTCTCCCCCCAGTTAGAGGTGGCGATGTGACAAAGTCCAGTGAGATGTCTGCCAAGGTCTGCTGGAAGACCTGTTTTCTGAGTGACAGTGTGAAGCATGTGATGAGCTGTCACAGTGGTTGAGAGGCTCCCATAAAGGAGTATAAAGCCAGGAGACCTGCAGTCGTCTTACCTCTCTTGGAAGAGCCATTCAGTTATGTTTAAAAATCAAACTAAAGGTATTTTGTTACTTACTGACCTACCATCAACCACTAACAAGTCTAACATTTAAGTAGCCATCCTTTGGTGATTTTTGAAAAATTTGAGTGATCAGATAAAAAATATATATATTTATAACATTGTTTGATAGTTGAAACTACTCAAAGGATTTGACAGTTCTGTAATAATAAATAGTAGGATGCATTAAAGAAATAATGGTAGCCCAGCCCACTAATGAAATTTTAAATGACTGGTGTGTAGAGCTCAGGTGTGGGAGGGCACACAAACAGTTAAAAAAAAATAGACATATAGTAAAAAGTTTCTGGATTCCCTCAGGAGACAGCAACACTATGGAACAATTTATGTAGTTTTCCTCCACCTTGTTTGAAAAGTAAATTATTTGCTTAAAATAACATAAATTATTTAAATAAATATTGTCACCAAAGAAGCATATGTAATATTTTTGGATAAAAATATGACCTCAAATATTGCTGAAGACATTTTATCTATTATAAAATTTATCCATAGTGCTCATAAAAACTGATTTACTCCAATATATGTATCCGATTTTGTTGTCTAAATTAAACAGCTTTACCGTGCTAAGAAGGGCGCCGGTTAAAAGTTATTTTTGTAATAGTATTCTCACTAGATACTGTACTTCGGGTAAGAAAAACTAGTAACACTAGTTGAAATGTTTAGATTTTATCTGCTTTTATGGTGTATCATAGCTGAGTTTCAATTTCTGTTTCTCAAATATGAAACTTCTCTCCTTCAAATATGAAAACATATGTATTAGTGAAAGAATACAACTTCCCCAAGTTTTAATATAACTACACCAAATATTATTTAAAATAAGTCAGTATTCTTATTATCTTCGGCTATCAATTTCCATATAAACTGACTCTCTTGTACTATGTATTTTCTTTTCATTGTTTGAACAATATTGTCATTCCATATACTTCATTTCTGCAAACAAGACTGTTGTTCCGAATAGAGAAGTATGACCTTCTATCATTGACAGAAAATACTTTACTATCTAGTACTGAATATAAAACACTGTCCTTGGCTTAGGACTCCCTAACTTGATTTAAAAATATTCTTGTTAAAATGTTTCTCCAAACCAGGAGAGTATTTTGACTTCTGCCAGGTTGCTCTGTTAGGATTTATGAGGGAATCTGTCTATCCTACCTGCTAATTTAGCCTCATCTTAGAAGGACCCCATCCCCACAACTAACTGCTCACCTTTGGATTTTACTGACAAAGACCCAAGGCCCTGAAATCCGATCAATCAGATACAGGACTGCAAATGCTTAGAATGGGCAATGGTGAGGGTTCTTGGGGACCTCAGCCCTCCACTGCAGTGGTGGTTTCTGTGGCACATGCTCTCACAGAAGAAAGCAGATCATCAGCCAGTAAAATGTAAAATACCGGAGATTCTTCTAGACAAAGCAAGGTAGAACTCTAGTACTGGACTCTCCAGATCAAACCCCTGTCCCACCCATTCCTTCACACCATGCTGAAGAGTTCCTTTCTTGTACAAATATCTGGGCCCCTAGAGCAACACAGCCTATTCTGCATTAAATTCCTGTTCACAAGGAGCTCACCAGTGTTCAGTGTAGATTATGTGATAATCTTATCAATGTTACTAACTACTACAATTCTCATTTTACTTCCGCTTTTTATCCTCTCCCTGACTTGAACCTCTGGGTACTGGGCCCTGCTCAAGCTTAGACCCTGACTACTAGGGAATACTTAATTGGTATTATTTGAAACTCAGTCTCAGATCTTAACTTTGTTCTCAGGATACCTACTAACCAATCATTTTTCATAAAGGAATTGTCTTCTTAGTATGATCTTTAAATCTTGGGTCCCTCTAGCCATTGGCCCAGACTCTCACTACAAAATGCCATTATTAAATACATTTAAACACAGCAAGAAGCATAGTCTGGTGAAGTTTGACTCTGAGGCAATGCTGCTTATAGAGGTTCCTTCTATAATGTAAATGCTGATTGGTTGTAGTCAAAATCCCTCTTCTCCAGATCAACTACTTCTTCATAGTGAAATTTCAGCATTTTTCCATATTTTACTGGTAAAGTTTCTGCAAGTTTTTTCAAAATATCTTCAGCACAATGCTCTGAATTATGAAGTTGAAAAGCAAGATTTGGGTAACAGTCATCTCAAAATTGAAGAAAAGCCTTAACTAGTTTTCACCTGCTATGTAGCTTGATCTTGAATATGGTGCTCAAGAATATAATCTAGTCTGCAGCAAAGTGGCAGTTGACAGAAGAGATTTTCCATCCTAGCAGCCTGAGATCACAGGAAACCAGCTGGATTTTGTCCAAACCCTTGAAAGATGCCAATTATATTTAAAACTGATCTCACTTAATCACAAAGTCTGTGAAGAAGTAGTTATCACTGTTCCTTTATTTTAAAGAGTTTCACAAAAACAAATGTGTAAAGTTTAACAAATGATCACATAACAAAACATAATTTTGTTGTAAACTATCTTCTCAGTTTTTAGTCCTGATTTAAACAGATACCAGATATGAACTGAATTTAAAATGTTTTGGGGTCAGCCTCATAGTGCAGTGGTTAAGTACTTTTGTGTAGGGAAGTTTAATAGCCTAGTGGCTAAAGGAGTCAGATCCCACATGGCTGACCATGGTTCAAATACTGGCCCCAATGACTTGAGAAACATACCAAGTATATGTGTATGTGTGTGAGTATGTGTACCCCAAATCCTGACGGGGTGGAGAAATGGAGGAAAAAGGATTGTGATGTGATATCTATCCCCTTGGGCTGCAGATTTCTCACTTTCTTTCTGGTGAGCACACATGCCTGCTGGTAATTAAAAAACAAAAACAAAAACAAAAACCTAAACAAACCTTTTGTTTTCTCCTTTTAATTGAAATGCCTGAGTGTTTCTCTCAATGCCTATTTATCAAAAATTATAGGGACCAGCAGATGTCATAATGGTTACATCGCTGGACTCACATGTAGTAGATCATGGTTTGAGTCCCAGACTCTGCAGCCTAAAACTGACTGTGGGCATGTGTACATGCATGCCCAAAATCCTGAGAGGAGACCCGAGGAGAATGGGCTGCATCATGGCCATCCCCCCCAAGGGGGTGATTTTTTGCTTCCTGCCCCTCTCTCTCTGTCTCTCCAACAAGTGCACATGCCCTTTAAAAAAAATCTCTTTCTAAATAAATAAATAAATAAAAATTATAACTTAATGACCCAAAAAGGACTCAGTGGAAATCATTCTCATTGCAACTTTTATAGATACTTACATAAGTCAATAATCCGTTAAATACAACAAATATATTGGGTCGTGAGAAAAGTCATGACTTGCTGTTCTATGCAGAAAAGCATCTCCAACAACCCCATATTTTCTATTATAATATGATCATCATCTCATATATGTTACCAATACTTAGCAAGTATATCATGTAATCATTTAATCAATTATTAAGTCTCTTAAACACTTAATATTGATAGATTTCCAAATATCATTGTCCTGCCTAATCTATAGTGATTTACTATTATAGGTTATTATTGCGTTTGTATCTTGTTTTCCATCTCTCCAAATAGCTAAAAGAGTGGGAGGTACAGAAATGTGCTCAGACTCTTCCCTCCCCCTTTGAATATCAGTCGAATCAGTTATCCTATAGTACCCTTTGGAATGCAGGTGCTGATGACCACCCACCAAATCATCAAAATGATAAATTCCATGAATACAACAATGACTAAATAGAGTCTCGAATATTGAGAAAGACAATTCAGATAGCTAAAACTGGGGTGGAGGTGACAGTGTCAAGCTGTAGTAGAGAAAGTAGTAGTAGAAGAGTATTCCAAATTATATTCAAAATTATTAGTTATGTCTATGAGATGGGAAGAAGCAAAACATACAATATTATATAATATTTGCAAGTTTATGTGATATTCATTAGTAACAATGATGAGAACAAAAACATTTCAGGCCTTGCAAATCATATACTCCCAATACAATGTAGGTAAATTCTGTAAGAGTAACTGTAATGGGTAGTTACATTGACAGCAAGTTCCCCAATTCAAGTCATTTCTTTCATAGCCTGGCTTACTTCACTCAGCAATAGATCCTCCAATAATCTCCAGAATAAAGTTCACTGGAAAATTAGAAAATTAAGAAAATTAGAAATTCTACTCAACCTTCCACAGAAACAGAGTGTTTGTTACCCCTAACAGTGTATTCCAGAGGTTAAACACGCTCTTTTCCTATGATATGTGTGTTACATATAAAAACAGACAAGCATTGGGTCATCAGGAAAGTCATGACACATTTTTGCATAGAGAAACTTAGAAAAACATGTCATGACTTTTCTGACAATCCATAGATACAGAGTAGGGATTTTCTATTTTTTGCTTTTTAAAATATCACCAGGAAAAGTTTATTTTATGTTTCATTTAGTTGTGGAACTTAGAGACTTGGGTCTCAGACAGGAAGATCCTCACTATTAAAAGTCACTAATAATACATGAATATCTTATTTGCAAATGAAGTTACTAAAACCATGAAAGGTCACTGATTTAACCCAGGCTTTCTCAACCTTGGCACTACTGACAAAAGGGCAAGTCAGAGATTCTTTTAGCAAGGACTTGTTGGGATGTTACTGATTTGAACACGGAGAAGCCACATTCTTTTGTCAGTGCATATACTAAAGTTGGAACAATATGGAGAAGGTCAGCATAGCCTTGTGCAAAGATAACATGCAAACTCATAAAGCATTCCATATTTTTAAAAAATCTATTAGGCAGCATAGTTAATAACAATATATATCCTTGAAAATTGGTAACAGTAGATCTTAAGTGTTCTAACAAAACACACACTCATACAAAGTATTGAGGTAATGAATATGTTAATTAGCTTGATTTATACTTCAAAACATAATGATATATATCACAACTATACATAATTTTTGTCTAAATGAAAAAATGAATGAATGGGGAAAAATGGAGGAAACAATGGTGATAAGGCATATAGGTGGTCTAGGTAGCACAGCATCTCTGGCTGATAGCCAGTAAGATACAGGGACCTTGTTTCTATAGTCACAAGGAACTGAATTTAGCAAACAAACTGAATGAGCTTGTGAGCAGATTCTGCTCTGAGCCTCCAGATAAGAGCCCCAGCCCCAGCCAACTGACATCTTGTTTTGGGCCTTATGAGACACGGTGCAGAGAAACAAACAAACCCACTCTGACTCTAAGCCAATGAGATATTAACTTGTATTGTCTGAAGTCACTGCTTTTGTGATAATTTATTACAGCAGTGATAGAAACTTAACAACACATGACATGCTCAAGACATGAATAACAGTAATTCTCCCACTGCCTTACCATGAATGCTACCAAGTAGCCAACAGTGGATTAGAAACCTGGTCTTTCACCCTTAAACTATTTCCTTAAATAATCAGTATTTGTGCATAGGTTTCCTAACATGCAAATAGCTTTGCATCTGTTCACTCACTGGCTCCTACCAACAGCCATAAAAGGTAGGTACTATCATTACTTTTTTAGATGGCAGACAGAAGCTCAAAGCCACTGGGTATGTCCACAGGGCTGGCATGTAAATAAGCAACAAAACCATGAGCCCTTTTATCTCATTGTCTTTGCATGTGCTTCCTTTAACAGGAAGAGTGTAAAAAATACAGAGGTTTAAGTAAAACAAGTAAAAATAATACAGACAGAAATGATCTTCTGTTGGCAGGGTATAAGAACAAGTAAAAATTTATGGAACAGGAAAGTTTAAAAAGGGTTTTGATGGAAAGGTAGGATTTCAAAAGATGAATGATAAGTCCCAAGTATTTTGTAAATTTGAAATCATATTTTGGTGTGAGTCTCTGTATGTGTATGTTTTAACTGATCACCATTAAAGTTCAGTGTGCAGACCTCATCACATTATACAGCAGTTCAATGGTGAATAAAAGGGCAAGTAAGTTTGGTTCCTGAACTGATATTTCTCAGGCATGTTCGTATCACAGTTAATGGAAAATATGAAGATTCTAATTCTAGTGAACTGTCATTCTGAAAAGGCAGAGCTCTCTTCAGTGAATATATAGAAGAATCCCATAGTCTGCCTCTGAGAAGCAGGCCTACAGCAGAGAAATTTCCAACAACATAAACACAGCAAAGCAGACGTCTGGATGTGGCAGAGAGGTTGGAAGGCCTCTGTGCAGCCAAGCAATCCCCTCCCTTCTGTCACTCAGGAGGCTCTGGGACATGGCTATGATTGTACCAAAAATCAATACTCCACCCCCTGGCCATCGCTGATTAGACACCTAACTAAAGCTGGGCCTGAGTCTCTATTCTGGGAATTTGGAATTGAGCCTCTGAATGCTTATTAGAAACTATTGGTGCTTAAACTCATTGGCCATGTAAACATGATTACTGACTCACAGAGAGCTTGTCTGCGCAGGAAAGAGTAAAGCAGATATATCTAAAGACAGAAGACCAAGTAGCCTGGGATAAGAAGTGAGGAAGAGCTGTTTTGGTTCTTCGTATTTTCTAGATTTGGAATTCATAAGATCTGGCTATGCTTCTTGATCCACATTTATGACATATCTCTTTTTGCCATTTTTAAAAAAATTTTGCCAGAGGGCACATGTGCTCACAAGAGAGGTGGGAGGAAGTGCGGGGGGTGGGGAATAAATCACTCCCCATCAGGGTTGGTCATGCTATAATCTCTTCTTCTGTATCATCCCTCCTTTCAGGAATTTGGGTACACATGCACGCACACACCTTTCCAAGCTACAGGGTTTGGGTCTTGAATCTCACAGCCAGCCATGTGGAATCTAGTCATCTTAACCATCATATCACCAGTTGGACCCCCCTTTTCTCTTACGATAATTATTACCTTCTACCCTCTGACTCTTTAACCTAAATTGCATGGAATTATATTCTTGTGAACAAATGATCTCTTGTATCAGATTCTCAAATCTGTCTTCCTTTTCTCCCAAACACATAGGAAAAGTTCAAGTCTAGGTCAATCTATTTGCCTGCCTTCTCCACTTATTGCAGTATGGCTGAATCCTGCTCAGCAAAAGTCAACTAGAAAGCATACAGGCCATCACAAATCCAGCAGCTGTGTGCTCAGCAGTGTCCCATGAGCTTTCTGTTTATCTACTCAGTCTTCCTGTTGCCCCTTATCATTTTGCAGCAACCATACCACCACTCCTCTCCCATCCACAGTGACCTCTTGTCTGTTTCCTTAGCAGTATGGCTTCTGCACTGAATACTCCATCAAATCTGCCCAAGTAGGAATCACTTTCAACCTACTTATTACCTGGTCCAAAAGACAATTCTGTCTTTATCGTGCCTCTCAGCAGCATTTGACACTGCTGAGACTCATTTTATAAATATTTATTATCTAAAAAGCCTTCAGGTGCTACAATCTGTCAATTTTCCTCCTGTACCTCTGTTCCTTCCCTCTCCCCTTATTCTATACATCCCTTCCATGTTATTGTTCCTCAGCCTTCTAGGCCCTCACCTCTTGTAAAAATTCTATTCCTGAGAGATCTTATTTACTTCTATGGTTTGATGGTCTCAAGATTGGTATCTATATTCTGCACATCTCTTTGCATTGCTTGCTGTGTATTTCTAATTGTCTCCAAGAGATCTTCTTCACTGGGACATCCTTCTCCTCTACTGCAAGAAACCCCAAACCAAATCCATCACACTTCTGCACTCCACTTCTTCACCTGGGATCCTGACCATCACCCAGCCCCTTGTCCAAACCAAGAACCCCAGCAATGTCTTTGACACACTCCCTCCCTCACCCTTCCTATCAGTGCTTACAACATTCTGTCAGTCTTTTTAAAAAAAATATCTCAAGGATGTGTTCACTTTCTCATTCTCTACCTCCCCTTCGTGCATCTAGACCATTACCTCTCATCTGGATGACTGCCAGCCGTCTAGCATACCTTCCTGACTCTAGTCTTATTTGAAAATGCAAATTTAGTATTCTTCCCTCAATGTAAGACCCTCACATGGCTCCTAATGATCTCAGGATAAAGTCTAAACAAGATCCTGTCATTTGCTCTGCTTCTGTGGCCCATTTCTTAGCACTTTCTTCTGAACCACAGTCAGTGCTTTGGCTGCCCTCAGAGCCTTCACACATTCCCTTCCCTGTCCCAGAGCACTCTCATCTTGCCCTGCAGCTGACTAACTCTCATTCATCCTATGGTCTCCCTAACATATGGCTTCATTTTGGACATGTTCCTGAAACCTCCAAGCCTGTCATTCCATCTCTGAACCTGACTTGACTGTTCCTCCCACACACTCCCAGCATCCTTGTTTATTACCCTGCCTGTTTACTTGTGACCCTGTGGGTTCCATGTTGGCATGGCTACTCTTGTCCTGCTTATTCTTGTCTCTCCAATGCTTGATACAGGGTGGTACTTCTCAACATTTGAAGAAAGAAATTATTCTTAATCTGATTCATTAAAGGAAAATAGCATTACAAAAATTTAAAAAGCATTTAAGTGTGAATGATTACTTTGTCACTCCATGTACACAAACTTTAGAAAGAGTTATACTATCTGAGTGTCTCTATTTCTTAGAACCAATTAAACAGAGCCTTTACTGTCGCTTCTGTACAACACTTGAGTGTAAAGTCAGTAACAACATTTTACATTGACTCACAGCATCTTTTATGGTAACACCTCATTGTAAATTTAAAATTCCAACTTCATTTGTGTGCATATATTCATACTTTAATATTAAATAATTGCAAGGTTATGTGTTCTAGAATTTTAAGAATTATACTTGCCCCAACACTACAGGGAAAAAAGGAAGCAAATTTAAATTGGTGTTTCTTTCAGTGACTATCATCTTTCTCTTCACAGTGATTTAAATAACTTTTCAGAATTCCCAGTTACAGCCACTAATATTTAAAGCATTATTTTAGGTAATTATAGAAATACGCAAACCATGTATATATTATGCATATACATATTATTAAGGTATGGATGCATGCATGAATATAGGCTAATGAGCATAGCATTTATAGTAGAGTACAATATTACTCTGAGGAGAGGCTTTTCCAAATAACCTGAATAGAGGTTTTACTTTCTGAATGAAAGCGCATTGTTTGCCACAAGCTGGGACAAAACAGTGCCAACCATTACTCTTTTGTTTCCCCCTACTGTCTTCCCAGGCAGAAGAGAGACGATAGCAGGAACCCTAGTTCTTCATTGAAGGGAAGATTCTCAAGAATGCTGAAGTCCCACTGGGTGAAGAAAGCCTACTGGGAAAGAATACATAAGAGAAAGACAGGTGCCAGGGTCAGACAGACCTGAGATCAAATCTCCAGTGAAGCACACAGGAGTGGTGTAACCCTTAGCAACTGGCCTGATGCTCAACTCCCTCTGCATAAAATGAAAACAACAATACCACATTTTGAGGTTATTCTAAGAATTAAATGAGAATGTATGTGTAAGGTGCTTGGTATAGTGTTAAGCAAGAAGTGAAGACTCAACAAATGGTGTGCTGTCTTTACTTGCATACTTGTCAGCATTCTAGAATTCAAATTACAGATAGAGGAGACAAAATCTATGCAAAGATGGGATTTTAAAAATCTAGTTCTTGGTAGCTTTAATTATATATATAGTTCAAACCATACACAAAATCAGTAAAAGAGTCTTGGAACAACAATAATAGCAAAATCATTCTACTAGAAGAAAACAGGGAGCACACTATAAAATATAATGAAAAAGCTGTATTTTTCAGTAAACCTGTGGTTT